TATATATATATATATATATATATATATATATATATATATATATATATATATAAAAACTAATACATTTTATTTAGTAATATCGAGTATATAACTTATGCAGACACCTAGTACTATCAAAGTTATTAATACATGTATAAGCTATTGCTTTGAATATTTTAATCTAAATAATGAATAAGTAATAATCTAAGCATAACCAACCTTACTCGGTACTATGTTTATATCGTACCCTGCCAAACCACTCTTCATTTTATTCATGTTAATTAGTATACATTCTCTTCTTTATATTAATTTCATCATATTTATAAATATCATTAAAAAGATAGCGCGAAGTGTTATGGTGTATATGTAAGGCTTTCTTCTAGGTCTTATTTGAGAAGAATGACCAGAGATTGAGAACAACAGTATCATCATATATTCCTAAAAGCATGAACAAAAAAAGTTAAAAGTTGAATTATGATAATACCCCTTCTATAAATTAAATTGTTATAAACTATTTAAATATTTGATTGTATAAATTTAATTAAAATGTTAATGACTTTTAGACTTCTTAAGATTAATTTCTAATTAAATATCTAATTAATTAATATTTGTGTTTATAATCTATATGTATATAATAATTATAATTTTTTTTAAATGGTTTCTACCTAAATTGCTATATTTTTCCTCTTCTCATAATTTTTTCCTTACCATGAATAATATAATTTATATGGATAAAGTGTTATCCTTAATGATAAATAACAAAATTCAATAATTTAAAGGTTGCAAATCTGCAAAATGGAGACATACATTGATACTGTCCTCTTGACTATTATTAAAGAACGACTCTATCTTCACAAATTTAAATTCATTAACGCTTATTACGTGATAAGAACTTTAGTTGTTCTTTCTACATGGTTTGCTAATTTTAAGTTTCTTTTTCATATTCTTCATTTATTTATTATTATTTGTTAATTACTTATTCAACTTTTATACTCTTAATATTCATAACTCTCATCTTTTCATATTCATATTATCTAAATATTTAAACTAAAACTTTAAGATTTCTTTTGATATTCCTTCTATTTTATCTATATAAATTCAACTTCTTTATCTCATGAAACTCCTACCAAGATTATTAGGCTACATTTTTATTCTATAGTTAAAGTAGATGAAGAAGCCTCTAGAATTTTGATAGGATATGGAAGGAGTAGATAAGAACTCAGAGAGTTATGTACTTATTTTTTCATCTATACATAAATCAGTCTTATAAGAATAATGTCTACATTATATTTTTTCTTAGATCTGTTTCTTTTTGTCCTTTTTTTTCCATTAGACTTCTTAATTTAGTTTTTTATGAATGTTTTATTGCGTAAGTCTTTATTCTTATTTTGTAATTGTTACATTTTATTATTCTCAACAATTTACATATATATTTTCATGAAACTTTAGTCATTCTAACATATCTATAAAAATTCACATGAAACACACGTGCGAAGCACGTCCTCAGAAACTAGTAGAGTTTTAAAAGTGAGAAAGTGCAAATTTTTGCACAAGCCTTAGCAGCCATTTTCAAAACACGATTCCGCTTCATTTCTTGTCAAATTGAGGTGATTTTTGGACAGCGTGTTCCTTTCAACTTAATAATTTATTGGGAATTGAGGCAGGGTGATTTGATGTCCTTTAAATCCAGATTTACAATAGCTGCGATTTGGTGTTTTTGCTTCTCTTATTTCTCTAGTTTTTGGTGCTATCTTGTAGTTTTGTTGCTTATTGGTTTGACACTTTGTTGGTGACCATTTTGGAGACACTTTTTTAACTCTTGTTGAATAGTGGAGCTTTGGTCTAGTGGTGTTTACTCTTCATACCAATGCGGTTTTTCACCTTTAAATTTGGCGTCTCTTGTGTTGATTTATTTTTCTTGCTTGGTTGATTAGTTTGTTGTCCAAGCTATTTTATTCTTGCATTATTTTGTCTTCTCTTGGTTCAAATAGAAGGGAAATTTTTGACTTGGGTTTCTTTCGTTATCGCCTTTTTGTGCACACCTATTTTGTGCTTACCGTTCCCAACAAAGTGGTATCAGAGCATTGGATTGTTATTGATATCTATTTGAATGATGGAGTCAAATATGAACAAGATAGTTTGCTTGAATGGTAGTAAATATCATACTTGGAAAGGCAAGATGAAAGAAATTCTAAATGTCAAGAAAATGCATCTACATGTGTTTGTTTCTAATAAACCCAAATCTATGAAAGACGAGGATTGGAAATTTGTGCACTTACAGCTTTGTGGCTATATTATACAATGAGTTGAAGATAATGTTAGAAATCACATCGTGGATAAGACACATGACAAAAGTTTGTGGGACAAACTCGAGACACTATATGCTTCAAAGACTGGCAACAATAAGTTGTTTCTTTTGAAACAATTGATGAACATCAGGTATAAACAAGACACTCATATTTCTAATCATATTAATGATTTTCAGGGTGTTCTTGAGCTGTTTGGAATGGTTGTAAATTCAATGAAGAAATTCAAGGACTATAGCTTCACAATACTCTGCCAATCTCTTTTGGAACTCTTCGAGTATCTCTGACTAATTCTGATCTCACTGGTGTTGTGACCATCAAATATGCTAAGAGTGGTGTCATGAAATGAGAAGATCTCAAGGATCATCATCTTCTACTTCACACTCCGACATTTTGGTTACTGAAGACAGGGGGAGAAGCAAGTTTAGAGGTCAACATGCAGAAATAAAAGTAGATTCAAGAATGTTACATGTGACTATTGCCACAAATGGGAATATCAAGAAATTTTGTTTCAAAGTATAAGAAAGATATGAACAACAAAAGAAAGAAGGAGATAATGAAAATCATGTTGTTGTTGTTGCTAACGAAGACCTTCTCGTTTCTTGTGATGAAAATGCCGTCAATTTTGTGTGCGATGAATCTAGCTAGTTTATGAATTCTAGTGAGACTTCTCATGTTACACCCGGGAAGGAATTATTTTTCTTCTTATACTCTAGGTAATTTTGGGATGTTGAAAATGACCATAATCATGAGGTTGCGGTTCTTGGTATTGGAACTGTTTGTTTGGAAAGTAATAATGGTCCCAAACTAGTTCTCAATAATGTCAAGAAAGCTCCAGATGTTTTCTTGAATTTGATTTCTATTGGATACCTTGATGATGAGGGTTATGTTAATACCCTTGGTGCTTCCCAGAGGAAGCTTACAAGAGTTTGATGGTGGTAGCTCGTGGTGACAAGTTGTCTAACTTGTATATTTTTCAGGGCTCCATTCTCAGAGGTTCAGTAAATGTGGTGGAGAATGATACTTCATCATTGTTATGACATAGAATACTGAGTCATATGAGCAAGAAAGGGATGAATAATTTGGCAAAGAAAAATTTGCTTTTCGGAGAGAAGCAAGCAAAGTTGAACAATTATGTTCATTGTTTAGCCAGTAAACAGAAAATATTTTATTTTCATAGTCATCTGCCTTCAAGAAAACTTGATTTGTTGGAGTTGGTACATTTTGATTTGTGTGGTCCTTTTTTAAGGTAAAGTCTCATGGTGGTGCACTTTACTTTGTGACTTTTATTGATGATCATTCGCACAAACTCAGGGTATTCTCTTTGAAGTCTAAGGATTAGGTTCTTGATGTGTTCAAGAATTTTCAGAATTTAGTTGAGAGATAGACATGGAAGAAATCTAAATGCATCTGTTTTGATAATGGTGGTGAATATATTGATCCTTTTGACAGATGTTGCAGAGAGCAGGGTATTCGACATTAGAAAACTCCTCCAAAGACTTCTCAGCTAAATGGTTTAGCAGAGAGGATGAACAGAAATCCTGTTGAGAGGGTTAGATGTATGGTTTCAGATCCTCTTTTTGGGCAGAAGCAGTTAACACTGCTGCCTATATTATCTCTTTATTTCCTGCTGTTGTTTTAAATAGTGATGTTCCTGAAAGAGTTTGATCTGGTAAGAATGTCTCTTATGATCATCTTAAAGTTTTTGGGTGTTAAGCCTTTGTGCATGTTTATAAGGATGAGAGGTCGAAGTTGGATGTTAAAACTAGGCAATATATCTTTGCTGGTTATGGTAAAGATAAATTTGTCTATCGTTTATTTGATCTAGTTGAGAAGAAACTTGTTAAAAGTTGTAATGTTGTGTTCTTTGACAACAAAACACTTGAACATCTTAACAAAGCCGAGATAGTTGACTCTCAGATCAACGAGAGCCTAATTGATGTTGATCCAATTCCTTTGACTATTCCACTAGGTGAAAATCTCCATGTTGATATTGAAGATGGTGATCATATTTAGAATGACCAGGATTCCGTTGATGCTCCAGTGCAAGACGATATAGTTGGTTAGAAACCAACTATTATTGATGCTCTCAAGAGTTTTCTCGGAAGATCTAGTAGAGAGAAAATACCTTCATCTCGTTATTTACACAATGAGTATGTGTTCTTGACTGACGTGGGAGAACCAGAGATTCTTGATGAGGCCATGAAAAGTGAAGAAAATGAACCGTGGTTTGATGCTATGGAGGATTAAATGAAATCTCTACATGGTAATCATACCTTTGATTTGGTTATGTTACCTAAAGATCGAAAATCTTTGAAGAATAGGTGGGTTTTCAGGGTAAAATACAAGGCTAGATTAGTTGTGAAAAGCTTTAACCAGAAAAAGGGAATTTATTTTGATGAGATATTCTCTCTAGTTGTGAAGATGTCATTCGTCCGTGTCGTTCTAGGCTTGGTTGCAAGTCTAGACTTGGAGGTCGTACAGATGGATGTTAAACTGCTTTTCTCCATGGTGACATGGATGAAGAAATTTATATGGAGCAGTCAAAAGACTTTGAAGTCAAGGAAAAAGAGAATTATGTTTGCAAGTTGAAGTAGAGCTTGTATTGTCTAAAACAAGCTCCCAGGCAATGGTACAAGAAGTTTGGTTATTTTATGAGTCAGCATGGCTTCAAGAAGACCTCTTCAGACCATTGTGTTTTTGTGCAAACATTCACTGATGATGACTTTATTATCGTTTTTTTTATGTTGATAACACGTATGTTGTTACTCATAATATTTGCAACATTAAAGAGTTGAAGCAAGAACTGAATAAGTCTCTTACTATGAAAGACTTGGGACCAGCAAGACATATTCTTGGCATGCAGATTGTCCGTGATAGAGATGCCAAGAAACTGTGGTTGTCATAACATAAGTACATTCAGAAAGTACTTCGTAGATGTAACATGGACAAAGCTAAGGTTGTCAGTACACCTTTAGCTATGCACTTCAAATTAAGTACTAGACATTGTTCTTCCAGTGATTGTGAGTAGGAAGATATGAACCAAGTTTTGTATGCTTCAGCTGTTGGTAGTTTGATGTATGCAATGGTGTGTACAAGACCATATATTGCTCATAATGTTGCAATTGTTAGGCGTTTTCTTTCTAAATCGGGAAGAGAGCATTGGAATGTTGTAAAGTGGATTATGAGATATCTTTGTGACACTTCTAGTATGAGTTTGTGTTTTCGGATAAGGAAACCTATTTTTTGTAGTTATACTGATTCAAACATGGTTGGTGATGTTGACACTCGTAAGTGTACTTTAGGCTACTTGATTACCTTTGCAGGGGGAGCATGTCTTGGAATCTAAGTTGAAAAAAAGTGTTGCTTTATCTACTACAGAGGCTAAGCTTATTCTAGCTGTTGAATCTTGCAAAGAATTGATATGGATGAAGAGATTCTTGGGGGAACTTGGTTGTACTCAAGAGAGGTATATGCTTTATTGCGAGAGTCCAAGTGTTATTCATCATGACAAGAATTCTACATTTCATGGTCAGTCTAAACACATTGATGTAAGGTATCACTGAATTTGAGATTTGTTGGATTCTAAGTTACTTGAACTTGAAAATATCCATACCAATGATAATGGTTCCGACATGAAGACTAAAACTTTGCCAAGAGGGAAGTTTGAAGAATGTTTCATGATCACCAGGATGGAGGTTTCCTCCACATAGTCGGTATGGGGAGAATTGTTGGGCTTTGGGCCTTTTTCCCTTCCTATGTGGATGAATAAAAGTCCAAGGTTTTGGGTCTTTCCTTTCCTTTGTGGATAAGTTTAGCCCAAATTTGACTAGACCACTTTTGCCCTTAAGCCCAACATTATGGTGCATATGTAAGACTTTCTTTTAGGTCTTATTTGAGAAGAATCACATGAACTTAAGAGAAGCCGAGAGAAAAGTGAGAAAGTGCAGATTTTAGCACAAGCCCTAGCAATAATTTTCAAATCGCGATTCTCGCTACGTTTCTTGTCTGATGGAGCTGATTTTTGGACAGCGTGTATCTTTCAACTTAATCTTTTATTAGGAACTAAGAGAGGGTTATTTAGAGTCCTGTAGCACCAGATTTTAACTCCTTAGTAGTAGCTGCGGTTTGGTATTTTTCTTCTTTTATTTCTCTAGTTTTTGGTGTTATCTTGTAGTTGTGTTTCTCATTGGTTTGACACTTTGTTGGCGACCTTTTTGGAGGACACTTTTTTAACTCCTGTTGATTATAGTGGAGCTTTGGTCTTGTGAGTTGTGATTTTTACTCTTCACACCGAAGAGGTTTTCCACGTCAAATTTGACATCTCTTGTATTGATTTATTTTTCTTACTTGGTTGATTAGTTTGTTACCCAAACTATTTTATTCTTGCATTATTTTGTCTTCTCTTGGTTCAAATAGAAGGGAAGTTTTGACTTGAATTTCTTCCGTTATCGCCTTGTCGTGCACATCATTTTGTGCTTGCCTCCCAACAATTACTCCATCACTATATAAATGGAGAAGCATTAAGTGACTTTATTTCAATATATCTAATAAGAGAGAAAAAATTTACATCCTTAACTTTGTTTAAAAATCAAACTCTCTCCTGAACTAGGGCTGGGAATTCGGTTTGTTCAGTTCGATTTACGAAATTCGGTTCGATTTTTTATATTTTGATTTTAAGAAAATACAAACTGAAACTAAATTGAAATAAATTCGATTCAGTTCGGTTTCTACAATTTCGGGTTGGTTCAGTTTGGTTAAATTTTTTTTTCTGTTTTTACATATATGAAACACTGATCAGTAACACTAACACACTACATATACTAAGTGCAAAAACTAAGTGCTAGTAAGTGACTTTCTTGCAGCTAAGTGCAAAAAGCCAAGAACCATGTTAACGCTGCACTGTTGCACACTTGCACTAGTGCTTACTGCCACAGTAAGTGACTATCTTGCAACTAAGTGCAACAAGCCAAAATCAAGTGCACGTTGCACACTTGCACTAGTGTTTACTGCCTGTGGGAAGTTTATAATTGAATATCAAGACATTAACAAAAATCTAAGAAACCAAGAGTATTCAAGATTCAACAAAAAACTAAGAAATCAAGAGCATTATACATCAATAACAGTCAAAACAAGAACCAACAAGACAAAATAAGAATCAACAACGTGACAACAACACTGCAGTTCAACTCTATCAGAAGAAAGTCGGCATTCCTTGTGTGCATTTCATTGCAGTCTAACAACAACAGGATTCCAACTCGATCAGTTCACCAATAATAGCATCCATACTATAAATATGCCTGAGAGAAATGAAACTCTTTAGATATATGATAGAAATTAAACAAACTCAACGGAAAAAAAGAAAAACAAGTGTTGAATGCTAATAGAAAAAGATTTTAAATTAAAATTTTCTTACTGCTTGATAGTTATAACTACACATCCACAATACGAGGTTCATTTCCACTATGATCCATATCTACAAAATATGAAAGAACTTGTTAGATATAAGCAACATAAATAAGAAACTATTTGATATAGTGAACACAAAAGTTTTTACCAAGTTCAAGTAGCTTAAGATACTCTAGATCTTCCTCAACATTAATTGAAATTGGTTCACTTGTAGACCAATCTTGAAGAAAATAAGAGCTTGCACTAGTTTAGGAGTCAATGAACTCCTAAAAGCATCAAGAATACGACCTTCTGTGCTAAATGCGCATTCAGATGCGACACTTGAAATAGGAATGACTAATACGTCACGAGACATCTAAGCAAGAATAGGAAATCTTGGCTCATTAAATTTCCACCACTTTAATATATCAAAATCACCAGTCTCTGGCTCAACATCTTCAACAAGATATCTACCCAACTCTGATTTACTACTTGAACTTCCACTAACTGCTTTTTGCCTCACAAATTCTTTTTTCGTTCTCATTGATCATCTTTTTTGAAAGCTGTTATCACCACTCACACTAGATATACTAGATGAGTTCCCAGATGAAGATGATGAAAATAAAGAGACTTTTGATGATAATGATCAAACAAAACTTTCATATATTTATCCACTGCATCAGCAAGTAGCTCCCCAATTTCTTTTCAAAAAATATCACCAATTGCAAAAAGAACATAATTAAGCTTGTTTCAAGGATCCAACGCAGCTGATATAAAAATCACTTTGTTCATGTTATCTGGTTCACCCCAATATTTTTTGAATTTTGTCTCTCATACTTTATGCCATATTCTTCAAATTAGAATCTTCATTTTATGTCATCTCTTTCAAAATAAGATCAAGCTCAACAATTTCCAGAAGGTGATACTTTGAACCAGAGACCTTCAAAGTAAGTGTATAAAATATTTCAAGAAACTTAGTCATCGAACTCACATTTTCCCAATCAAAACTAGTGAGGGCACCTGCTTTTGTTCCATCTTCACAATCATGGGTACGGAGATAATCAAGAAGCCCAATATTATAAAAATTATATCTTTCAAATGCAAGTTCAAAGTGTTGTGCAGTATCAAGCATCAAGTATGTAGCGTTCCACCTGGTGGGAACATCTAAACATAATGATTTCTTACAAGTTATCAATGGGATTCACAACATTCTTTAAATTTTTTAATTCTTGCCGGAGATTGTCTAATGTATTTCACGGATTGTCTCACTCGTTGATTGATTGACCAACTTCCTTCAATCCATCTTGAACAATAAGATTAAGAATATGCACCACGCTCCTCACATGAAGATGTTGACCCTTCATTATGTTGGTTCCCCAATTAGTGAGTTGCTTAGATATTCCTTTAACATTAACACTATTGGAACTAGCATTATCAACGATTATGGTAAACACATTATCCAAACCCCAGTCAAGCTAACAAGCAGTAATGGAAGCTACCATATCATCACCTTTATGACTAGAAATAGGACAAAAATTTATGATTCTTTTATGCAAATTCCAATTTCTATCTATAAAGTGAGCTGTTAGACACATGTCATTGATTCTTTGAATCGACGTCCAAGTATTTGTCGTAAGACAAATTTTTGGACGTGCTTCTTTGAAACACTTCTTCATGAGTTTTTTTTCTTCACCATAAAGTTCATTACAATTTCTTGTCAAATTTCTATGAGAAGGATTATGAAATTGTGGCACTATAACTTTCATGAAATTCCTAAGACCTTCCTTCTCAACAATACTAAATGGAAACTCATCAACAATTATCATTAGAACTAAAGCTTTTCTACTTTGTGCTTGATCAAATTTCCAAGTGTTAATCAGCCCTTCTTTTCTCCCTTTGAAGATGGTAAAAATTTTATTAATTTCTGACCATAATCAACAGCAGAGGGAAAGTTAGGACACTTCTTGTTAGTTATATGATTATTCATAGTCGAAGTACCATTACTTTTTGTAGCAGCATCATATGTTTTCTCACAGTAATTACATTTTTCTCTAATAGCTCCATCTTAATCGACGTATTTCTCAACAAGCAGCCCTAGGTTCCATGGCTTTTCTTTTTTTGAAGGTTCAATGTCAGTTTCAACTTCATTGGAAGATGGAATGTAATCTATGGTTTCATTTCAAGCCCCACTTTCACTTATCTTACTTTTGATTTCTGTCATCTGCGAAAAACAAGAAGAAAAGATGTGAGAAGTTAGAAGTTAAAACCCATACAACAATTAGTGAGAAGCAAAAATGAGTGAGAATCGCAACAAAATCAGGGAGAAATAAAAGTGAGTGAGAATCTCGGCGAGCCAAGAAAGAAGAACTTACCCTTCAGGAGTTCAGGTCGATGGACGATGGATCGCTGCCTCGCGCAGTCGCGGACTTGCGGCTGCCGACTGTTCTTCAGTCTTTACTAACGCCTTACGCAGTCACATTCTCACTCTCACAAGTCACAGAAGGCAACGCAGTTGGGTGAAATGTGAAATGACTGAATTCTGAATAGGTTAAGGGATTTTGGGTGAATAAAGATTTAGGGATATTGGGCTTTGTTGGGTTACTACTTAACACTTACAAATAATGAGACAAACAATTAACTCTTAAAAGTTAAATATATAATGTAGTAAATATGTAGTGTATAAATTAGATTTTTCGGTTAAACGAAATAAAAAATATAAAAACCAAAAACTGAACCGATATACTGAAATTTTAAAACTAAAAACCAAAACCGACTGATTTAAACAAAAAACCAAAATAAAAAATTTAAAAAATTCAGTTCGGTCGTTTTTTCCAGTTTCGACCAAAAACTTATGCCAGCCCTATCCTTAACTTTGAATAATAGATCGAAGATGAATGATGTGGATGATATAGAAGAAAATAAGCAGAGGAGAACACAATTTTAATCCTAAGTTTAGTAATACTTGCTAAAATTTAAATATAACTTAAATAATAGGATGAAAATTGTCTATGGAAAGCCCCAAATGGATCAACTGAATAATTATCCTCGCATATTTTCACACACACGTACGCACGCACGCACGCACGCGCACACGCGCGCGCGCGCACACACTCTTTCTTAATATGTTTGAGTATATTTTCTAAAATAAGTTTTCCTTGGATGGGTAAGATTATTTTATTTTCTTCCCAAGTGCATTGATGTATTGCACCATTTCCCTCTTCTTTTCAATAAGAAAAATTATTTTTTGCATAAAGGATAAGATATGCGCTTTAATTTATTTTTTTCTCTATTCTTGGTTTTACTTAACTATGAGAAGAAGTAAAAGAACAAATGTTGTCTTCTAACAATATTTGAACTTGAGTTTAGTTTCTTGTTGAAATTAAATGTATTCTTAAAGAAAATAGGAATATGATGGAAACTGAGAAAATGAGGAAAAAATAGCAAGGAAAATGACTTGCATAGAATCATTACTGATAGATAGAATATGATTCAATGAGAGTAAAAATCAAATTATATTTTTATTTCCTATCCTTTATAAGTAATGAGATTTATCTCATAAATATTAGGATAGATGGTCATTATATGATGATTATCACTAATATGTATTCTGTTAATAGGAAAAAAACCTTTTGTAGTTTTATACACCATGTGAAATTTGATTGTATTTGACTTTTGGAGATTAAAATCTTCTGATTTTTTTACTCCTTTAATTTGAAAAATATAAGAACTTCACGAACAAATCATATTGTGCATTAGTTTGAAGAATATAGAAACATCACCAATTTGTTAGATACTATATTTAAATGACTATTTTGACTTTAAGAGTACAAAATCTTCGTCACAAATATTAAGTCTACATGATTTGAAAAACATAAAATTTTCATCATTAGCTAGAGACAATGTTGTATTTGATGTATGTTGTCGGCCACTTCTATTGGCCAAAGTTGTAAGTTACTTATATAAATAGAGGGCTTCTCCCTCAGAAATAGAATAAGCTACTTTCAATCAACTCTCTCCATTACTCTCTCTCTAAATCTGCTTCCACTCCCCAAATTGATATCAGAGCTAGTTAAAAAGATAAGATATGGAAAACAAATCTGAAACAACAAATCTACAGAAACAGGTATACTTATTTATGTTCATGAGTAGCTAAACTACTTTATTCCTGATAATCTCTTGTTGATTATAATTGTTTATCATGTTTTAATAATGTTATAATAACCATCTTTAGAAAGTTTGCTACAGAAATATTCTGCGAATAGGTATGCCCAGACTATGTCATCCTAAGGTTGAAACCTATAGGCAAGAAGGCCGTTTAGGGGAGTAAACAAAGTTGAGGCGCTGTTAGAGTAACTGATCAAAAAAGAAAACTGTATTAGTGACTAGACGAGATGGTTATTAAACCCTTATTATTACATAATAAATAGGTATAATCTATTAAGAGGTTGGAAGGAATAAAATTTTTAGCGAAAAAATGATTAAAATAAACTCCTATTTACTAAAAGATGATGTTAATAATAAGATATTAATACTCTATATATTGAAAGGTCTTAATATTGATATAAAAAGAACAATTTATGATAAATTATTGACATATGAGATAATAGAAGAAACAGCTCAAGGTTGGGCTGCATTAATTATACCAGATGATTTTGACATAGATTTATATGATGATCTAGAATTATTTATAGATCCATGATAGATTATTTGTACTTACTGTATTGGAAAGAAACAAAGGAAGACATAGAACTACTTGAAAAACTACTAATTGACAATTTATACGACTATTGAGAACTAGAGAGAGTGAACATTAGAATATATTGTAAATAACGCTAACGAAATACAACGATTAGAACTACTTAAAAAAAATATTACAAAAAAATATTTCATTCTTAAAAAAAAATATTTCATTCTTAAAAATATGAAGAATAATCTAACATGAAACAAATAACCACTAAGACAAAAAATAAGATAGAAAGAAAAGTACGAAAGACATGGAAAAAGTTAAAAACCTTATACATAGAATATGAACTATTACAACTTGCTAAAACAAATAATAACAAGAAAAATCTTTTAATAAATATAATTTCAAAAACAGAATATAAATATGTTTGTTATCTGAAAAAACAATATGAACAAAGAAATATATAAGCAACAAGTGGTAGAAAAAATAATTGAAAAAAATACAAGAATTACAACATAGAAAAAGAAGATTAGAAGAAAATATATTAGCAGGAGTGTGTAATAAATCAATATTAGCACAAAGAAAAGTTATATTTATGCTAAAAATACAAATAGATTGCCTCGAATATAAACTGCAACATAATATAAGTCATAAACCATAATGAATAAAGAAGAATTTGCAGTAGACGAAAAGACATATGAAAATCAAGATGGCTTAGTAATAAAAATAATATTTTCAAATTTAGGAAGACGATATAAAAAAAAGGAAATAACTTATACTTAATGTTAGAAAAAGAAACAACAAAATTAGAAGATAGTTTGACAGCTATGGTAAGAATAACAAAAGAAAACGAAGAAATAGATAAATCAAGAGAAATTGAAAAAATAAAAATACAAGCAAAGCAAGAAGTACGACATCTAGAAGAAATAAAAAATACAAGAATAAATGAATTAGAAAAAGAATTAGCTAAGCTAAAATTATTATATGAAACCAAACAAAAAGAGAAACAGGAAGAAAAAGATAAAGAACTTGAATTAACTAATGAGATAAATAAGATGAAACAAAAATTAAATGAAAATCTAGAAATAGACGAAATAGACGAAATGAATGAATCAGATACAACAAACGATCTAAAATCAAAAATAAGTGATATAAGTGAAACATACACAGAAATTCTAGAACAAATAAATAAGCTGAAAAAATAAGAAATAAATACAGGAGATATGAATCGACCCAGTACATCAAGAGTTAAAACTCAAGATAATAGTCCTAGAAGTAGTCCTAAATGGACAGCACCAACTTATTATACAGAAAATTATGAACAATCAGATAGAACAAAATATGGAATAGTAGATTAAATAAAAAATGGACACCTAAGCCGATAACCGAACAATATAACTTTTTAGATCTAGATTGTGTTACAGATATAAATAAGCAATACTACTATGGGTAGGAAATATATCTAAACAACTAATTGATAACAAAATAACAACAAAAGAAACACCGTAATATATAGAAAGAACATTTGTTGGAACAACAAAATTATGGATAGAAAATTTACCCCAAAACAGTCTAGAAACACTTAGGAGTGATAAGAAAATAGATGGATCTCCATCAACAACAAATATAGATATATTAGATAAATATGAATTAGCAATAAGAAATGAATTTGGTGGTATGACCACAGAAATAAAAGAACAAAATAGAGAAAAAATAATAAATAGACAACTTATGACAAAATTAGCTATATGTAAAATGTGTTATATAGAAGAATACACACGTGCATTCAAAGAATATTATTACAAAGCAAGATATGATATAAATGAAGCAAAAGAAATAAGACAACAATATTTTACTAAACTACCAGAACCATTTAGTACAAAAATAATTAAAGATTGGAACAATAAAGGATTAACAGATACTTTAGGAGGTAGAATAAAATTTTTACATCAATGGTTTGTACAACTATGTGAAAATCAAAAAGAAAAATTAAAAATGGAAAAACTACTAATTAAAAATTTAGCCTGTTGTAAAAATAAAACAGCACCACAGTTTGGATGTACAAATAAATATTATAAAAAGCAAAAACCTAGACGATACAAAAATTATAGAAAAACTAAAACTAGGTATAACTATAAAAAACCAAGACAAAGATATTATGTAAAAAACTATATAAAAAGACCATATAGACAAAAAAAAGTCATCGCAATGTACTTGTTACAATTGCGGGAAGATAGGACACTTAGTTAGAGATTGTAAGTTACCCAAGGATCCAAAAAGAAAACAAATTGCAGAAATAATTATAGATAATGATGAATATATGCAAATAGAATATGTAGACTATGAATTAAGTGAAAATGATAGTATATATGAAGTATCAGATATAGAAACTGAAAAATGAAGAAGAAAATATTGATCTAGATAATGATGTAATGACAGAAGAAATCTAATGTCTGAAGACGATATAAAAATAATATCCAAAGAAGACTATCAAAATGAAGAAATATCAGAACAAAAAATTATATTTGGTAATACAATTTTTGAACAAATAAAAGGAAATGAATTAGACTTAAGTGTTGAAAAAATACTTGAAATACCTATAATAAGAAATTGGTTTAAAAGACAAAAAGATGAATACTATGTAGTTAGCTAGAAAGAACACATCATAGATTGTAAATATACAAAAGGAAAAACACAAATACCTATACTAAATAAGAGGATAATTAATAAAGAAATACAGGATATAAAAGCTAAAACAATCATAAAATACGTACACTTAGGAGGAACAAAAATACTGATAAAAACTTGTTTTAGAGAAGGAATAGATACACCTATTGAAATATACTTAGCAGATGATAGAATTATACATCCTATAGAAAAAAGCGTAATTAGTGCAGTAAAAGGAAACTTAATATACCAAAAATTTAAATTTATAATAAGTGCCAACTACTCAGTAGCATTAACAGATAGGAATATAGATAAATAATTAGTTTTATATTGGAAAATGTCTGGAATAAAATTAGCACCAGGCAGTAAAATATTTATAGCAAGCTGTAAAAACCTATATATATTAACAACAAAACATAAAGTAACAGCATGAAATAAAATTGATAAAATAAAAATAGAAAACCCTTTTGAAAAAATAATTACTGTAATAGATAATAATGACTATAACTATAAAGAAGTTGATATAGAAGAAGATTTAGAAATTGTAAAAGAAAGATTAAGCACTTCAAGCGTACCAAATACATTAACAAGAGCTACCTCATCAAGAATGATTACATCTAAAAGGAACTATGAAATCCCACAAAACTTATTAGATAAAGAAGAGATAACACCATACCATTACTTCATAACATGAATAATAGACCAAAGAAGGTATAAAATTTTAATAAATACAGGACAAGAAGAAAATTACATAATAAGAGAGTTAGTATTAGAAACT